TGTGTGTGTGTGTCTGTGTGTGTGTGTGTGTCTGTGTGTGTGTGTCTGTGTGTGTGTGTCTGTGTGTGTGTGTGTGTGTGTGTGTTGGTAAGGGGGGCTCCCAGCCCGACCTTCACTGCTGTATCTTGGGCGGTGAAGTGTGTGTGTGTTTGTGTGTGCTGGAAGGGGGGGCTCCCAGCCCAACCTTCACTGCTGTACCTTGGGCAGGAAAGATCTGCACTTGGACAAACCCTAGGGACTACTACAGCCCTCCTTTCTTCTCTTCTTGGGGTTGGTAGGTAAGGGTTAGAGACACATGGGGAAAGAGAAATGACTTTGTTTCTTTTATACTGGCTTTAGACTTTTTTAAAAAAGCTTTCTTTTATTTCCTGTCATTTGCGTCTCCCACTCCCAGCCCCATCACACCCCAATCTCTGTGGTGCCCAAACTCATTTCCCTCCCCCTTCATGAAGAAACAAAACAAAATGAAAGACACCACAGAAGAGTCAGGTTATGCCAGCTGCTTGCTGTAGCCTTTGAAGTGGTGTGGGGCTAGGGATGAAAAGTGGGTATGTGGTCTATTGTATTCTGGCCTTCGTACACTGGACAGGGCAGTTGGCAGCCAGGCCTTTGGGCTGGGCAACACCAGTCTATCACAGTCTGTGCTTACCACTAGCCTTACTGGCTTCATATCTTGTACCAACAACTTGTGTTGCTTTGTCTCACTAGCTATTCTTGCTCTTCTCAAACAGCTATAATCTTCAGGCAAAGATGCATTTAGAATCTTAAAATAATCTAAATCTATCTTGTCCCTCTGGATGAGTCGGCTGGAGAGCGCGTCATTTCAGATGACTTGTCCATCTTTTGACTTCATTGGTCATTTTCCAGGAGCCCTGCTGGCACAGTGATTAAAGAGGTCAGCTGCTAACTGAAAGGCCAGCAGTTCGAACCCACCACCTGCTCTTTGGGAGGAAGATGTGGCAGTCAGCTTCTGTAAAAATTATAGTCTTGGAAACCCTATAGGGCAGTTCCACTCTTTCCTCTAGGTTCACTATGAGTCAGAATCCACTCCACGGCAGTGAGTGGGATGGTCATTTTTTAGGTCCTTTCACCCACATCCACCAAGCTATGGAAGGAGGAACAAGAGAGAGTTCTCTGGATCACTTTTTCCTTTTTAAAAAAAAAAAAAAAAAAATCACTGGAGCAACCTTTCTTGTTGGCACTCGCAACTGCATCTATAACCTTTCCCACTGGGCTGCACTCACTGCTGGCACTACTTAGCAATGTCTTCTTTCATGTGGCAAGGGATATATTCCTATAATAGAGGTTTCCAGAAGCATTCAGTTAATTGAAATTTGCTGTTAAAGGCAACTTAAAAAAATAAAAGCCATGGCAAAGCATAATTTAATTTTTAAAAAGTTCATATTGCCAAAAAAAGACAAGTCTTACTGCCTGAGCTTCTCAAAGACCGTTGTTTCCCCTGAGCACCCCATGTTCAAGGAAAACAAACTAAATCCTTTCTCCACTCCTGTCCACTTCCAGTCCTTGGCAAGATGTTTTTGAGGATGTAAACTTAACTTTGAGTGACTAGCATTAAGCAATCCAGGTGTAATCAATATGTGAATTTTCTTGTGGGGCTTTGAAGGTCTGTTTCTGAAGAGTCCCATGAGATGACTGATCTTCCCAGTGCCTCAGATATAAAAACCAAACCGGATGCTATCGAGTCGACTCCGACTCACCGCCACCCCATGTTTGTCTGAGTAGAACTGTGCTCTGTAGAGTTTTCAATGGCTGATTTTCGAAAGTAGATTGCCAGGCCTCTCTTTTAAGGTGCCTCTGGGTGGACTTGAACTGCCAAATTTTCCCTTAGCAGCTGAGCACATTAACCATTTATACCACCCAGGGACTCCGCCTTAGATATAGGCAGCCCTAAGGTCTCCGTGGAGCCCTGGTGGCACAGTGGTTAAGAGCTATGGCTGCTAACCAGAAGGTCAGTAGTTCGAATCCACCAGCTGCTTCTTAGAAACCTATGGGGCAGTTCTACTCTGACTATAGGGTTGCTATGAATCGGAATTGACTCAGCAGCAATTGGTTTTGGTTTTTGGTTTTAAGGTCTCCATGAGTTGGAATCAACTTGGCAACTGGTTTAAAGTATTCTGAGGGTTCCTTCAGCCAATGCCCATAGGGTCTCCATTTCTTGGCAGGAGGGGAGTGGCTATGAGCCAGTTTGGCTGGGGCTTGAGTTTGCTTTGATATTTGGAGATTGGCTTTTGCCAAGTAGTTTTCTCAACGAGGAATGAGCTGTGTTCTAAATGATAATAATAGCACAGAGGAAGTGGACATTCAGAGTTGTCCAGCCCCAGCTGAGGAACACTGCGCAGTGTGTGTATAAAACCAAATGATAGAACTAGTTTCAGTGGACAGATTTGGGAATATTGTAAGTTTACTAGAGGTCACGCATTACCATCTACTACTTCCTTGATGACCTGTAGGATGGTAGCATGGGATAGTGGGGAAGAGTAAGGATTTTGCACGTGAATACTTTTGGGCATGAATCCTAGCTCTACCATGTACTGGCTGCGTAACCATGGGCTAGTTATTTAACCTTTTTTATTTTGCTTTAGGTGAAAGTTTACAGCTCAAGTTAGTTTCTCATTCAAAAATTTATGTACATGTTGTTTTGTGACATTGGTTGCAATCCCTACAATGTGACAGCATGCTCCCCCTTTCCACCCCAGGTTCGCTGTGTCCATTCGTCCAGTTTTCCTATCCCTTCCTGCCTTCTTTTCTTGCTTTTGAGCAAGATTTGCCCATTTGGTCTCATATATTTGATTGAACTAAGAAGCACGTTCCTCACGTGTGTTATTTTTTGGTTTATAGGCCTATCTAATCTTTGTCTGATTAGTAGGCTTCGGGATTGGTTTCAGTTCTGGGTTAGCAGTGTGCCCAGGGGCTATAGTCTCAGGGGTTCCTCCAGTCTCTGTCAGACCAGTGAGTCTGGTCTTTCTTTGTGAATTTGAATTTTTTCCTACGTTTTTCTCCTGCTCTGTCCGGGACTCTCTGTTGTGATCCCTATCAGAGCAGTCGATGGTGATGCCCTCCAGATTTATCCATGTTGTGAGATGTTTCATGGATTCATCATTTTTCTTTATCATTGCTAGTATTCCATTGTGTGTGTGTACCATAATTTGTTCATCTGTTGATGGGCACTTAGGTTGTTTCCATCTTTTTGCTGTTGTGAATAGTGCTGCAGTGAACGCAGGTGTGGATATGTCTATTTGTGTGATAATTCTTATTGCTCTAGGCTATATTCCTAGGAGTGGGATTGCTGGATTGTATCGTATTTCTATTTCTAGCTTTTTAAGGAGGCTCCATATTATTTTCCATAGTGGTTGTACCATTTTGCATTCCCACCAGCAATGCATAAAAGTTCCAATCCCCCCACAGCCTCTCCAACATTTATTATTTTCTGTTTTTTTGATTAGTGCCAGTATTGTTGGGGTGTATTTAACCTTTCTTGACCCTTGGTTTCCCTGTCTGTAAATGGGAGTAATAACAGCTAATGTATAGACAGATTATAAAAATTGTTAGAGAAAGTGGGTGTGATTTTCCTGGGATATAGTTGTTGTTGTTAACAGTCATTGAGTTGGCCCCTGACTCATGGCAACCCCCTGCACAATGGGATCAGACTGTTGTGATTCATAGAGTTTTCATTGGCTGGTTTTTTGGATGTAGATTGCCAGGCCTTTCTTCCTAGTCTGTCTTAGTCTGGAAGCTCTGTTGAAACCTGTTTAGCATTATAACAACATGCAAGCCTTCACTGGCAGACAGGTAGTGGCTGCGCTTAACATGCATTGCCTGAGTGTCGAGCCCAGGTCTGCTGCACAGGAGACGAGAATTCTACCACTGAACTACTAGTGCCTTGTTTGGATATATTTAGTGCTTAGTTAATGATACCAATTTTATTTTTATTAGAAGCCATATAAACAGAGAAAAAGTACATGAGATTTGGAGTCATACATACTAGGTTTAAATCTAGGTTTTGCCATTTACAAGCTTTGTGACTGGGAAAATTACTTCTCTGAGCTTCAATTTCATTAGTACTTACCAAATGACTCTTGATACAATGGTGCATTTACCATGAAGCTCACAAAGCGTAGGCTTCCGGACTCCACATTGCACAGGCCCTCGTAAGGCTCTGTACCTAATTTTGTATCCAAAATTTTGTATCCTTTTTCTTAAGAGAGGGCTCCTTCAAATTGTTTAAGCTTCAGGACCCACAAAGCTGCATCTGCCTCTGTGTGTGTGCTATTGTGGGACCAAGTGAGGTAATCCATGTGAGATTTAGCACAGTATCAGGTATGGAGTAGGTGATCAATATCTGGCAGCTGTCATTTCCATTTTTATTATTATGGCACAATTCATCCATAACTCGACTTTAATATATCTGTAATGTAATCCACTCTGATACTGCCAGTTCTTAGTCATTTCATTCAAAGATTGTCCATGTCTCTGCTTGTCAAAAAGAGGAGAAAGAAAAAGGATGAAATTCGAAGGAGTAGGCTTGGCTAATTGTGGGAAGCTTAATAAAATAATTACTAGCAGAAGAATTTGTCTACTGCGATAATTGTTCTTGCACCCTGAAGTAACCAGAGGTTATTGAAGGGAGATTTTTATTTTGCCCAGTGAATATAGTGGAAGGAATCAAGACAGTTTGGTTCCATTCTTGGCGTCACTGGTGACTGCATTGTATTCGGCAAGACCTGTAATTGTTTCTGCTTCATTTTTTTCTTTTGCAAAGGAAGCA